TATGACCACAATTGAGCCCAAAATTTCAGACAAATTGTTGTCCAATCTCTTCTTAAAAACTTCCAGTGTTGGAGCATTCACAACTTCTGGAGGCAGGTTGTTCCACAGGCTAATTGTTCTGTCAGGAAATTTCTCCTTACTTCCAGGTTGCTTCTCTCCTTGATCAGTTTCCATCTGTTGTTTCTTGTCCAGCCTTCAGGTGCTTTGGAAAATTGGTTGCCCGCTCTTCTTTGTGGCAGCCCCTCAAGTATTGGGACCATGCTATCATGCCATCTCTGGTTACTAATTTTATTTCTCAACTTAATTAATCTTATTTCATAACTTACTCAGGATTACTTTTTTAATGGACTTCCTACTGTTAAAAATAGGCACTTTCTAGTCCACCAAATGTTTGTTCAATATAATCTGGGAAATGTGTAGTTGTTTTCACAAAGCTTAATCTGAGCCAATCTTTTTCTACCTTGGCCACTTTTAAGATGTGTGGACATCAACTTCCAGAAGTCCCCGCCAGTAAGTCCGCACATCTTATAAACTGTTCTAAACTTTCAGAAAAGGTTGAATTACCTCTCCACTGTCTTATAGAAACTATCAATGGCATTTGAAAGAGGGAGGCATATCATTGACTTATTTTTTTTTTTTTTAGTGGTTCCCCCCCCCCCAAATTCTCTTTGTATGCCGATCTTCAAAAATCTTCTCAGGGTACTGTCTGCAAAATCTCCCCATGATTGTCCTCACCTTGGCATACAATAAACACTGTATCTTGTGAAATTATTTTGAGGTTGGTTTTTTCAACGCAATTGTTTTATTCGAGAATGCCCTTCCTCCTCAGGTTGAGGCCCCATTTGGTCAAGTTATTAATGCACCGGGCTAGAAAGCGGGAGACAGTGAATTCTAGTCCCACCTTAGCCATGAAAGCCATCTGGGTGACTTGGGGCCAATCACCAGGAGACGGTGAGTTCTAGTCCCCCCTTTGTCATGAAAGCCAACTGGGTGACTTTGGGCCAATCACCTGCAGAGTGCAAGTTCTAATCCTGCCTTAGGCATGAAAGGCACCTGGGTGACTTTGGGCCAATCAGCAGGAGCAGTGAGTTCTAATTCCCCCCTTTGTCATGAAAGCCAATTGGTTGATTTTGGGCCAATCACCTGGAGAATGCAGGTTCTAATCCAGCCTTGACCATGAAAGCCATCTGGGTGACTTTGGGACAATCACCAGGAGACGGTGAGTTCTAGTCCCCCCTTTGTCATGAAAGTCAACTGGGTGACTTTGGGCCAATCACCTGCAGAATGCAAGTTCTAATCCCGCCTTAGGCATGAAAGACATCTGGGTGACTTTGGGCCAATCACCAGGAGTGGCGAGTTCTAATTTCCCCCTTTGTCAATGAAAGCCAATTGGTTGACTTTGGGCCAATCACCTGGAGAATACAAGTTCTAATCCCGCCTAGGCCATGAAAGCCATCTGGGTGCTTTTGGGACAATCACCAGGAGATGGCGAGTTATAGTCCCCCCCTTATCATGAAAGTCAACTGGGTGACCTTTGGCCAATCACCTGCAGAGTGCAAGTTCTAATCCCGCCTTAGGCATGAAAGCCAGCTGAGTGATTTTGAGCCAGCCCAACTCACCTCACAGGGTTGTTGTTGTGGAGAAAACAGAAAGAGGAAGGTGTGCTGGATCTGTTTGCCCCCTTGAGTTATATGTAAAAATAATAAGGTTGAAATACACACAAATAAACAAATAATGGTCTGACGCATTAACCAAGATTGAAGTTAGAGACATGTTCTCTGAAAACAAACCCAAACCCAGAATGTGGAAGCTGCAGCCGGTGCAACTCGTATTTCCGTGCAAAATGCAAACGTGAATGTCAACGCAACGTGAAGCCATTTATGAGGAGGATGTTGGGATGGCTTTGTTCCATTTCTCTGACTTTATTGTTTCACTTTGAGAGGAACACGGTCGGTTCATGTTCAATACCGTTTTGCAAAACAAAGGAACATAACTCACAGCTCTTGCGAAGGAACTGACAAAATGGTACAGTCGGAAACGGAAAGAACCGCGCGGCCCACCACCCAGCTTCTTCTGAAAAAGAAAAAAATAATAATAATCTACTGACCAGTTATTCCAACCAAGAGAGGAAGGAGCTTAAGATCCAGTTACATGTCTCAAAGTTTTGACTCTTTTAACCAATCCTGTATCTTCTACAGATGGAGGCCTACTCTTCCCACTCATTTTAAACTTAGTGCGGACAATAAAACATTTGCCACTGTGCCTCCACAAAGCGTTTCTGATTTCCTAATCTAGCCCATAGCCACGATATTCTCTGGAGGTCTCCCCTCCAGGTACTGCTCAAGTTTGACCCCGCTTAGCTTCTCAAGATAGAAAAACTCAACAGGTGTGTGGTCGCCTGCCCTTCTATTATCTCCCTTTTGGGATTCAGTTAAGAGGAGGACGTTCACCTGAACTGGAAGTTATTGTACAAATTACTACACAATACATATATAATGCCTGCCATGGAAGGCCATGAGAAGGTGGAGAATTTCTAGGGAAATTAGAGACTGCAGCGAGACTATACAGCAAGAGATCTCAAGTCATTCATTCTAGCATTACGGGCAGAGTTGCATTGTCAGCAACGTGCAATGGAAGAAACGCTTCGGGAACACCCCGATGTTAGGTCTGGTTTTAGCCAACTTCGACAGCAGCCTTCCGTAATTTAATGCCTTCTGGCGGAGTTCAACCAATTTCCGCCACAGCCCAACGAACACCCGGATAGTTATCTGGAGGGCGTAAAGCCAGGGAAAGCTGAATCAGAGTTTTGTTACTGTGCTAAACTGACGATATAAATCACCAATCATGCAGAAGGGCTTTGCATCCTATATTTTGTAACTCCAAGGCAGCTGATCCTACTTGCTCTCTTACTATGAAATTACAAGAAATGTGTGTGTGTGTGTGTGTGTGTGTGTGTGTGTGTGTATCAAAACTCCTGGGTTGGTTTTTTTTTTTTTTTTTAGCTACCATTGTCTCCCCTCCAATAATGTAAAAAAAGGAAAAAAAAAGAGGTTCAAATACATAAGCTACTTGGTTGGGTATAGATGACTTGGGTTGATCCTGTACAATTCAATTTGGAAATCTGATAGCTCTGTTCTCTTATTTATCTATTTATAACTCAATTTCTTAAAGATTTTGTTTATAAAGGTGTTTCTGTTACAGGTAGCTATGACAAAGAACTACTTAGAAGCCTCTGATACATTTCCTAGGAGATCATGAGTAGTATCTTTTCTTCCACAGAGGGAGCAACGCAGAACTGAGAAACAGCTAACGGTAACCCTGAATTGGATGCTACCTCCTTCATCACCAAGATCATGATTTTTAAAGTCCTTTTGGTGTTTGATATTTACATTCCCCACTCTGTAGAGTTTTAGCTAAGATGACAGCTGTATCGTCATCTCATTTAAAAACTGGAAAGGTAAAGAGGTGATTGACAAGAGGGAAGGAAGAGACTCTAAAAGATATGATTTGGGGGGGGGGAATCAGCCCTGCCTTTGGATTAAAAAAAAAAGGAAAGGCTGCTTTAAAAATAAATATGTTTTTATGCAAGGAGTTTGGGACAGTGTATCTCACCCTTGGCAAGTTTAAGATGGGGGGAATTCAACTCCCAGAATTCCTCAGCCATCTCTGCTCTTCTGGGAGTTGAAGTCCATCCTTCTTAAAACTTGCCAAGGATGAGAGACACTGGTTTAGGGTAGTGTTTCCCAAACTTGACAATTTTAAGGCATGTGGACTTCAACTCCCAGAATTCCACAGCCAGTGTTGCTGGCTGTGGAATTCTGGGAGTTGAAGTCCTCATGCCTTAAAATTGTCAAGTTTGGGAAACACTGGTTTAGGGGATGAAGAAATCTGCCACAAGGTAAAATATACATTAATGGAGACCCAGAGTTCAAGTATGCTCTCATCTCCTTGAATTCCATAGATAAATGATTTAAAACAGCATATAGACCAGCGGTTCTCAACCTGTGGGTCGCGCCCCCTTTGGGGGTCGAATGACCCTTTCACGGGGGTCGCCTAAGACCATCGGAAAACACATATTTCTGATGGTCTTAGGAATCGAGACACCGCTCCAGATCCGTCTCCGCATGGCCTCCTCCGCCATTTGGAGAGAGAGGGGGGGGAGGGAGGGAGGGGCACTTTCGCTTTCCTTCTCTCTCTCTCTCTCTCTCTCTCTCTCTCTCTCTCTCTCTCTCTCTCTCTCTCTCAGGTGAACTTACCTCCTACAGGGCTACTGATTGGCCCTGCGCCCGGGTGCCCCATCCCCTGGGAGAAGAGAAAGAGGAAAGAGAGAGAGAAGAGAGAGAGAGGAAAGAGAAAGAGAGAGGAACGAGAGAAAGAGAGAGAGGGAAGAGAGAGAGAAAGAGGGAGAGGAATGGCACTTCTCCAACCAGGCTGGGCGGAGCCGACGGAGCGGGCTTCCTGCCCCCCCTCCCCGGCCAGCTGGATGGGGGGTTGGGGGTCACCACAACATGAGAAACGGTATTAAAGGGAAGGTTGAGGAAGGTTGAGAACCACTGATATAGACTGAAACGATCAGATGAGCAAAATTAAGGTAGAAGCTGATGCTCGTTCACAAGCAAAACACACCATTAAGTTTCTAAGGAGGGATCCAGAGAATAGAAAATGAAGAAAAAAAATTTCACACCCTATTGGGAAAAAATGGACACACATCAGCAAAAGAAATAGGCAAGTTAACTCTATTCTGAGACACACTAAAAAAAAACAAGGTGCAGTTTTTAATGAGGTCACAAAAGCTCAGAAATTTGCCCCCCCCCCCAAAAAAAAAGCGTATTCTTGAAAGACAGGCACAGATCACCTAACCACCTTAGTCTGATTAGAAAGCCCAAGGAGAGGGAAAACTGGGACCAAAGGATGGGAAAGCAAAGTCTCCAGAAAAGAGGAGAAATTTAGTTAGTAATTGGGGGGGGGGGAAACACAAGTGAAAAATACCACACAGCAGCTCAAGTACTTCATATTTCTTCACAAGATAGATACTGACATATTGAACAATACATAAAAATTGTAGGAAACTATTAATACTTTATGATCTCTGTGTGTTTATGTGCACTGATATACACACACAGTTATATACAGCAGACGATTTCAGCTAAATTCTGAGAAAAACTGGAAATTCCCAAGTATCCAGGCGCTCAGACATCACACAGTTCATTAGCCAAGCCAAAGGTTTTCTTAAGATAAAAGAAACCAGAGTTTCATCCTGGTTCCCCCAAATGCCTCATTTTGACATCCAGCCAATTATACCACGATTCAGTGTTTCCTGCCTCTTAGCGGTCTAACACTGTAGTATTTAAATATACATAGATCATAAAAAACGATTTACTGATCACAAGCACCAAAAACAGAATTGACATCAGACCTTTGTAGAAAAGGATACTGGAATTTTTCCTCAAATTCATGCAACATAGCTCAAAATGATAGACACTGTAATCTGATTATTTTTCAGTAGTCTCCTGCCGGGCACGGGGATGGGGGGTGGGCAGAAGGGAAAGAGGAAAACTCATGTGGAATCTTATAATCTTTATATTTTATAAGTGCAAAGTTCCAAATTGTTATTGGCTTTGGTTTGGTTCGAAAGATGTTTGCTTCTGACATTGGCATGTTCCGTTTATGAAAACTGTCACCTATCCTGCCTGTTTTTCCATCCCTGTTTGTATCCAGCCATTACGCTAAAATTCCACATTACGCTTGTGGAACCTCAAATGGAGAAAGAGAATTGAGATGATTTAATTTAATGTATAAAAAGGGAAAAAAAAGGAAAGAAAAGATGAGGAATCTTACACACGCCTGTCGAAAGCAGCCGAAGCCAAGAACGGGAACTTTAAAAAAAACAAAACCAAAAAAAGCTTTTAGAAATGCTGTCTGTTGCCTTCTAAATAAGAGAACTGAAATTATTAAGTGGACAGCGTCCTTCAAAAAAAGAGAGAAAAGAACACACCCTCTAAATAAATCTGGATCCAGCCAACAGATGCTTCTACAATATCTTAAATAATATATATTTTGGCTCGATTCCAAGCCATCCCATCTCAGTCACAATAATATATCACTTGGCTGAATATGTCACCCCTACACCCCCCCACACACACGTATCAGACTACCCAAAGTCCTCCAGAATGTCAGCTGAAGTCCCCAAAAGAAGTTGGGCAAGTTACACATGCGAAGGTTGTGGCTAGGATGGTAAGACTTGCATGGACTCGCTTCCTCCGAGCTTTCGAGGTTTGGCAAACCTACAAAGACAGCAGCACGGTGAGGATATTATCTAACGTGACACGACTTGGCTCTTTTGTATGATAATTACAAGAATCCGCAAACTCATGTGTGTTTGTTTTTTGTGGTGGTGGTGGTGGTGGTAGTTGTAAACAGGAGGTGGAAAGAGAATGGAACAGCGGGCGCGAAGTTGAAAGAGGCCAACTCCAACGGATGCTAGTCCAGTTATGTGGGAGATTCTTCCATCGGAGGTGTGGGTTATTTCCCCCCCCCTCTTCTGCTACGCTGGTTAGAGGACGGGTCCTACCAGTTGTGATTGTCCCATTCTTCTTCGGTGGCCGAAGAGGGTTCTTTTGTGCCCTTTTTGGCTTTGCCCTCCCCGGCGGTGTTCTCCCAGTTGGTCTCCCAGTTTTCCCAGCTGTCGCCATTACTGTTCTTGTTGTTGGAAACGGTGCCCGAACCCCAAACATCCCAGCTGTCAGAGCTTTTCTTCTCCGCCGAATTGTCCACGTACGTCCAGCTGTCGCTGCTCGGGGACTTGTGGGTTTTGGGTGGGTCTGAATTGCCGAAGGTCTCCCAGAAACTCTGATCCACGGAGTTGTTCTGGTAGCTTTCGTTTTTGCTGTTCTGGTAGCTCTCCGCTTCCGGTGGCCTTTCAGAAAAAAGGAGCAGAGGGAAAAGAAGAACTCGGTTAGTTCAATGGAAGCTAATCAAGGAGAGAAGCAGCCTAGAACCGTGGTGGCGAACCTATGGCACGGGTGCCAGAGGTGGCACTCAGAGCCCTCTCTGTGGGCACGCGCGCCGTCGCCCCAGTCCTAGGCCTTCAGCTGGGTTTTATAAAACCTTTTCGCTTTAGGCCTCCACCGCTGTGTGCAAAAAAAAAAAAAAAGGTTCAATCAATCAGTCAATTTCAACTTCTTGTGGAAAAAAAAAAAAGATCTTGCAAAGTTGGAATTGATTGATTGAACTTTTTAGTCCCACCCAGTCTTCCGTTACCAGTGCAGCCACGTCCACCCAGTGGGCCACACCCAGCCAATGGGCCACACCCACCCGGCACACGACAATACATAAGTGGGGTTTGGGTTACAGTTTGGGCACTCGGTCTCTCAAAGGTTCGCCATCACTGGCCTAGAACTAAAGAGAAACTTCCTGACAGATAGAACAATTAACCAGTGGAACAACCTGCCTCCAGAAGCGGTGACTGCGCCAACACGGGAAGTTTTTAAGAAGAGACTGGACAGCCATTTGTCTGAAATGGCACAGGCAGTCCTTGACCTACGCCCACAACTGAGCCCCAAATTTACGCTGATAAGTGAGACATTTGTTAAGTGAGTTTTTGCCCCATTTTGTGAGCTTTCTCACCACAGTTGCTAAGTCAGTGGTTCTCAACCTGTGGGTCGGGACCCCATTTGGGGTCGAACGACCATTTCACGGGGGTCGGCAAACAACGCAGTCCGCCATTTTTCCCCCTTTTCCTTAGCTGTGCTACTCCCTTTTATTCTATTGGCTTTTGAAAGCCAATAGAATAGACTCTCTTGAATAAAGTCTAATTCTATTGGCTTTCAAAAGCCAACAGGAATGGTCCAGGCTGTCTCTGCCCTGCTGAGCCCGCCAAAAGTCCCATTCTGCAAACGGTGCTGCACCAGTTGAGTAGTCCTCGACTTACAACCGGTTGAGTAATCCTCGACTTACGACCGGTTGGGGGGTCGCGGCATTAAAAAGGTTGAGAACCACTGGGCTAAGTGAATCACTGCAGTTGTTAAGTGGCTGTTAAGTGAATCTGGCTTCCCCACTGACTTTGCTTGTCAGAAGGTCTCCAAAGGGGATCACTTGATCCAGGGACACCACAAGCGTCATAAATATGATTCAGCTGCCCAGCGTCCAAATTTTGATTACATGACAACAGGGGTGCTGCCACGATCGTAAGTGTAAAAAACGGTCATAAGTCACTGTTTTTTAACGCTGTGGCAACCCAATTAACTGTTGTAAGTTGAGGACTACTTGAATAGGGTTTCAGCTGGACTAGAAGACCTCCGAGGTCCCTTCCAGCTCTTCTGTTATAATGTTAACACAGAAACAAAATGGGGCTGCTCTATTGGTCAACCTCCTGAATGAACTTTCGGTTGTGGGTCAAGGAAAAAAAGGTCTTTCTAATTCAGTGTTTCTCAACCTTGACAATTTTAAGGCATGTGGACTTCAACTCCCAGAATTCCACAGCCAGCATTGCTGGCTGTGGAATTCTGGGAGTTGAAGTCCACATGCCTTAAAATTGTCAAGGTTGAGAAACACTGTTCTAATTAGAACCGTCCCAGAAATTATAAAAGCAAGGTAGCTATTTAGAAATTCCAGCTTAGGATGGCGGAAAGACTCCCCGTTCAACACAAAACAACTTCTTTTAAAATATGTTATTATGGTTGTTGTTGTTGTTGTTCTTGTTATTCCCATCAAGATTGATCTGAAAGCAGTACAGGTAGTTCTCGACTTATGACCGCCACGGAGGTCCAAATTTCTGCTGCAACGCAAAACCGTTGTTAAGAGAGTTTTTGCCCCATTTCCCGACCTTTCTTGCCCCGGTGGTTAAGTGAGTCACTGAGGCTGTTCAGTTAGTAACAGGGTTGTTAAGTGAATCTGGCTGCCCCGTTGAGTTTGCTTTTCAGAAGGTTGCAAAAGGGGATCACACGAAAAAACCCCCCGGGGACACTGCGACCGTCATAAATACATTCCAGTTGCCAAGTGCCCAAATTTTATGCGCATGACCCTGGGGAGGCTGCAACGGTCGTTAAGTGTGAAAAACGGTCATAAGTTACCTTTTTTTTCTAGTGCCGTTGTAACTTTGAACGGCCACTGAACAAATGGTTGTAATTTTTAAAAACCATGCTTGGCTGGGGAATTCTGGGAGTTGAAGTCCACCCATCCAAGTTGCCAGAAACACTGGCCTAGGTTCCTGAGGGAATATATATCTTTTTGAGATAGCCTGGACTTCATTTACAAGTTACCGTATTTTCCGGCGTATAGGACAACTCGGCGTATAATACGACCCCCAACTTCAGCACCGATTTCCATGCCTAGAAAGTCGTCTTATACTCCGGAAACTACTGTAATTTCCGGTGTATAAGACGACTCAGAGTATAAGACGACCCCCAACTTCAACGCCGATTTCCATGCCTAGAAAGTCGTCTTATATGCCGGAAACTACTGTAATTTCCGGCGTATAAGACGACTCGGCATATAAGACGACCCCCGACTTCGGCGCCGATTTCCATGCTTTAGAAAATCGTCTTATACGCCGGAAAATATGGTATATGTCAGAGATGTATCCTGAGCAGATGCATCTACCATACCTTTCAGAAGACCCGTCTGCTTTTCCAGAAAAGAAAGTGGTCATATCTCGCCAGCTTTTAGTACTTACTCCCTGGACCTGTGGAGGGAAGGAAAAAAATAAGGCAAATTAAATGATTACAGAGAGAGAAAACAGTGGTACGCAAATATCAACCCTTTCCTTCTATCAGTTTTTGAAGCCAACAAAACAAAATGGCACCCAGCAAGCAACTACAGGTAGTCCTCAACTTACAACAGTTCATTTAGGGACTGTTCAAAAGTTACAATGGCACTGAAAATTGTGATTTATGACCCCTTTTCAAAGTCACGGTCTTTGCGGCATCCCCATGAATTCAGATGCTCGGCAACTGGTTCACATTGTGACCGTTGCTGTGTCCCCAGGTCACGTGATCCCCTTTTGCGACCTTCTGACAAACAAAGTCAATGGGGGGAATCCAGATTCACTTAATGACCACGTTACCAACTTAACAAATGCAACGATTTGCTTGACAACCGTGGCAAGAGAAATTGTAAAATGGGGGCAAACCCGCTTAGCAAATGTTTCATTTAGCAACATACATTTTGGGCTCCATTAGGGTTGTAACTCGAGGACTACCTGTATGTCCTTAAGCAAGCAGCATCCTGCTGGATTGGCCGGCTGGCCCAAGGTGGTTCAGCAGCCTGTTCTCCCGGGGCCTGACCCAATTGCCCCACAGAGCCCACCAGTCCCCTGGCCTATGGCCTTCAAAGGGAGTCCCACTGCCCTCTGGACTTAAGCCACCAATCCCCACAGGTTTCACGAACGGAAAGCGGACTGGCTTCTTCACCGACCCAAACTAAAATGGGAAGCCTCCCTGTCTGAGAGCTGAACAGGATTAAGATCTTTCTGGTAAATGTGCTTAGGGCAGTGATGGCGAACCTTTTAGAGACTGAGTGCCCAAACTGCAACCCAAAACCCACTTATGCATCGTCGAGTGCCGGGTGGGTGTGGCCCATTGGACGGGCGTGGCCAATTGGGTGGGCATCACTGCGGTGGTAACGGCAGACTGGGTGGGTCAATCAATCAATTCCAACTTTGCGAGATCTTTTTTTTTTTTCCACAAGAAGTTGAAATTGACTGATTGATTGAACCTTTTTTTTTTTTTTTTTTTTTGCATACGGCAGCGGAGACCTAAAGCGAAAAGGTTTTATAAAACCCAGCTGAAGGCCTAGGACTGGGCGACGGCATGTGTGCCCACAGAGAGGGCTCTGAGTGCCGCCTCTGGCACCCGTGCCATAGGTTCGTCACCACTGGCTTAGGGTAAGTCAGTAAATCACAGGATCTGGTTTCCTTTTTTGCTTTGATCCCAACATGACTGGAGCAAACCCATGGCGTGACTATAATGATTATAAAAAAACAAAAACAAAAAACCAACAACTATGATGCTCTGTTTGCAGTTTTGTTCTAGGTTTAAACAAATACTTTAAAGCAGTGTTTCTCAACCTTGACAATTTTAAGGCATGTGGACTTCAACTCCCAGAATTCCACAGCCAGCATTGCTGGCTGTGGAATTCTGGGAGTTGAAGTCCACATGCCTTAAAATTGTCAAGGTTGAGAAACACTGCTTTAAAGGTATATACAGGAGAGGTGTGGTTTGCCTCACTGAAGTACGCTCTTACCCCAAAGCCACTTCTCAAGAAAAGGACTAGGCCACATTTATGTGGAGTTAGCAAACCTTTATGTGCATACAAATACATTTAATAAAATAGACTCTCCTCTCCCCTTCTTCCTTTCCTTTCCTTTCCTTTCCTCTCCTCCCCTCCCCTCCCCTCCCCTTTCCCTCTCTTTTCCCCACACATTTAACCCTACAACCATTTGGCTAAAACAAATTTAAAACTA